ACACCGTCGTCATCTTCGACTCCGACTGGAACCCCCACAACGACATCCAGGTCTGTCACCCACCCCAGCACCCTGTCACCCACCCCAGCACCCTGTCACCTGCCTAGCGTCACCCAGTGTCACCCACCTAGTGTCACCCACCCAGTACTCCGTCACCCACCTCAGCACGTGTCCCCCACACCGTCGTCATCTTCGACTCCGACTGGAACCCCCACAACGACATCCAGGTCTGTCACCCACCCCAGCACCCTGTCACCCACCCCAGCACCCTGTCACCTGCCTAGCGTCACCCAGTGTCACCCACCTAGTGTCACCCACCCAGTACTCCGTCACCCACCTCAGCACGTGTCCCCCACCGACGGCCAGGCCAACAAGGTGATGATCTACCGGTTTGTCACGCGCGCGTCGGTGGAGGAACGCATCACGCAGGTGGCCAAGCGCAAGATGATGCTGACGCACTTGGTGGTGCGCCCGGGGCTGGGCTCCAAGGCCGGCTCCATGTCCAAGCAGGAGCTTGATGACATCCTCAAGTTTGGCACCGAGGAGCTCTTCAAGGACGAGAACGAGGGTCAGCACCCAGCGGGGTTGGGGATGGGTGGGACAGGGCGTGATGGGCTTTGGGAGGGACGTGGTGGGACGTGGAAGGCCGTAGTGGGACGTGGAAGGCCGTGGTGGGACGTGGTGAGACATGGGAGGCCGCAGTGGGCTGTGATTCGATGTGCAAAGCCGTGATGGGATGTGCAAAGCCATGGTGGGATGTGTGAGGTCACGATGGGTCGCACAGAGCCGTGATGGGTGATGCAAAGCCATGGTGGGATGTTTGAGGTCGTGATGGGCTGTATGAGGCCATGGTGGGACATGCGAGGCCGTGAAATGTTACGTAGGCCCGTGCTGGAACGTGCAAGGCCACGATGAGGTCACGATGGGGCCATGGTGGAATGCGAGGCCGGGGTGGCCGTGCCAGGCTGTGGTGGGACACGCGAGGTCACGATGGGGCTATGACAGGTCTTGCAAAGCCACAATAGCACATGCGAAAACATGATGGGATCCTGGTGGGACACGTGAGGCCGTGGTGGGACACGTGAGGCCATGACAGAAGGTCTCAGGCCATGATGGGCTGTGAGAGGCTGTGACAGGGCTGTGATGGGACATGTGAGGTGGTGACCAAGTGTGTGAGGCCGTGCCATGCTGTACCAGGCTGTGACAGGCCATGTCAGTGTGTGTCATACCATTCTGGGCCGTGCCAGGCCACGCTGGATCATGTCAGGCCATGTTGAAGCATGCCAGGCTGTGTTGGACCATGTTGAGCCATGTTGGGCCACATTGGGCCGTGTTGGACCACCACGTTGGGTTGTGTTGGTCCGTATTGGGCCGTGTTGGGCTGTACTACGCCATGTTGGGCCACCATATTGGACTATGTTGGTCCAAGTTGGGCCATGTTAGGCCCTACTGGGCCATGTTGGACCGTGTTAAGCCATGTTGGGCTGTAGTAGGCCGTGTTGGATCGTGTTGTACCACTATATTGGTCCATGTTGGGCCACGTTGGTCCATGTTGGGCCGTATCAGGCTGTATTGGGCTATGCTGGACCATGTTGGGCCATGCTGGGCCATACTAGGTCATGTCAGGCCGTGTTGGGCCATGTTGGAGCATGCCAAGGCCATGTTGAGCCGTGCCAGGCCCTGCTGGACCAAGTCAGGCCGTGTCAGCAGCGTGTCGCCGGCGCAGGGGAGAACAAGGAGGAGGACAGTAGCGTCATCCACTACGACAACGAGGCCATCGCTCGCCTGCTCGACCGCAACCAGGACGCCACCGACGACGCCGACGTGCAGAACATGAACGAGTACCTCAGCTCCTTCAAGGTGGCCCAGTACGTCGTGCGTGAAGAGGACAAGGTGCGCCTGGGGGACGAGGACATGGGGACGTGAGATAGGATGCGAAGGGGGTGACGACAGGGGTGGTGGAGGTGGGGATGACGGAGGTGGTGGGGGTAGAGGTGAGAGGACGATGGGGATGGGGACAGTGAGCATGATGGAGATGGTGGGGATGATGGAGGTGGAGGTGGTGGAGGTAGAGGTAATGGGGACAGTGGGGATGACGGAGGAGGTGGGGACAATAGAGTTGATGAAGGTGAAGGTGGTGGAGATAAAGATGATGGGAATGGGGGTGATGGAGATGATGGTGATAAAGATGATGGGGACAATAGGGATGATGGAGATGGGGACAGTGGAGATGAGGGTGGTGGAGATGGGGACAAGGGGGAGGATGGGTATGATGAAGACAGTGGAGACGGGGAGGATGGAGGCGATGGAGATGATGGAGACGATCATGATGAAGATGATGGGGATGGGGCTCTGGAAACGGAGCTGGGGACGCTGGGGCCAGCGCTGACAGAGCTGGAGGTGGCAACCTCAGGGTGCCCTGGGTGGCCACTGAGGGTGCGTGTGCCGGCAGATCGAGGAGATCGAGCGGGAGATCATCAAGCAGGAGGAGAACGTCGACCCCGACTACTGGGAGAAGCTGCTGCGACACCACTACGAGCAGCAGCAGGAGGACCTGGCGCGCAACCTGGGCAAGGGCAAGCGGGTGCGCAAGCAGGTCAACTACAACGATGCCGCCCAGGAGGACCAAGGTGGGCACTGGGAGGGACTGGGAGGCACTGGTTGTTACTGGGAGGGGTCCTGATGTACTGGGAAGCTGGGGCACTGGGGAACACTGGGAAGGTACTGGGACGCACTGGACCAGACTGGTCGTGTACTGGGACACATTGAGAGGGCACTGGGACAGACTGGGAAGCACTGGTAAGGTACTGGGAGGCACTGGGGGGGAGTCACGATGTACTGGGTACCCACACCCAGGAGAACCAAGGTGGGGTACGGGGTAACTGGGAGCACTGGGAGGTTACCGGGAGGTTACCAGGAGGGCACTGGGACAGGCCGGGAGGGCGCT